TTTTGATGATTAGTATTATTATTAAGTGCATGTTGTATTTTCTTGATTTTACACTTGGGCTTCCATTAGTGTAAATTTACTTTTATTTCTTAAAAAAAAAGGGATTTAAAAGGAAGAGAGTAGCTATTACAATACTAAATGTATGTTTATTGTTACAATGTTATAACGAAAAGCAATAATGAACAAGAAAGCTTAAGTTGTTGTATTTTCAGTTACAAAGTAAAAATCTTGGGTTAAGAATTAATTGTTTACAATTGTGGACTATAGGCCAGAAAGGGGTGAGGGGGAAGGATAACCTTGTACATTACTGAAAAATTTTAATGGAAATTGTATAGATCAGCGGATTGCCAATTGAAAAGGGGTGGGGGCTGGGACGACACAGGGTTTGAGGTGAAAAGTCGAAAATTTGTAAAGGAAACCCAACATTATAGAGTCATGCTTATGTCGTTAACTTATTCCCCCACTCTCCTTCGACTGGCATGGCAGACCCCTCATCACACACAATTTCCATTTTGATTTTCAGTTACACTTTCTACTATTCCAAATCTTTGCCCCCACCTGCAAAACACTTGTTTAGGTTCTACAAGGTGATTTCATCCCCACTCCGAACGTCGGTCCCTTACACTATACTAAACAATTACCAGTATTATAATATGCAGTTAGAGCTTGTTTTTTTTTATATATATATAAAATGTACATCGATAAGACAAAGTAGAAAAGGGAAATTGTAGTAGGTACAGGAATAAATAAATGAAAAAGATACTCACCCTAATTACCACAAAACTTTCTGACTGTCTGTCTCACGTTGGTAATGCTAGGGTGAGTCTCTTTTTGATATATTCGATAACACAATTTAAAGTTTGTTGTTGTAAACTCTGTGTACCTACATTTAACGTTTTATTATACCTTTACTTATATTTATACTATGATTAGAAAGTATTTTAATTATTTAATTTCTTCTGACAGACCTTCAAAAAATTAGGGTGTATACGGACCTGAGTATTTCTACCAAATTATTTATAAAGTACTTTTTAGCACAAATTTTAAGGTGCAATAGAGGAAATACTATTTTTACTAATTTATTTTCTAATATTGCATCTCAATATACTGAAAAGCTCATATAAATATTAAAAAATCAGTAAATAAATCATTATTCCCACAACCATTCATACTATTGCTATTGTGAAAATTTCTGTCCTAGTTTTATAAAACAATTACGTTGGTGTGTGTGAATGTATTCATTAATTTAATAACTTTTTAAATATAAATAGGTAGTGTGAATTTTTATTTATATTTTTGTATTGTTAGGTTTGTAAATTTTATAAATTTTTATAAAATTAATCTTTCTGTACAGCAATTTCCACTAAAACTTTACATATACGTAGGTAAGCCTCATACTGAGAATATTTACTGCAAAGTGATACTTGGAGACCAAGAACAACAAACCAATGCGGTCTCTGATAGCATTATTGGTTCAAATACTTCTTTAAATGGGGCTCCTCAAATACCCACTTTGGTATGGGACTATTCTATGCAATTTCATGTAAAAAACATCAATGAAGAAATTCTTACGTTGATTGTGTATGAAACAAGTGCTTTTCAACCAGATGGTAAGAAAAAAGTGTAAAAGAAATCGCATAATCTAGTCTAGGTCTTTCTTTGTTTCTCTTTACTTCTGTTTCTACTTCTGCTTCCTTCTTAACTTCGAAAACATCATCTGTTCNTCTATTCCTTTAAAATTGCTGATTTGTAGGATTGGGGTGGCTATGAGGGGAGGATGAATGCTATGCACCTTGATAACCGTATTCCCACTTTTGTGGAAAACTGTAGATGTGAAATATTAAATTTATTCTTGACATAATATCACAATTTATGTAATTCAAATTCATGATTTTTATTTTTGTGGGTGCATTTATAAAAATATTAACATTACGAGAGAAAGGCTATAGACAATGGATTGTTCTTATCGTATATTGAAATAAATAAATAAATAAATATAAAAACTATTAATAAGTTTGGTACAAAATAGATCTATTACATGCGATTTTAATTTCTTATTTTATATGTTGGAATTGGCAGTCTTATTTCGCATTTTTTTTATTTGTAATTACGCTGACTTTCACATAACTCGCTCGTTGATATGCACATATAAATTTATTTGGGTTTATCAACTATTGTAAACAATAAAACCGAAGTCAATTATTAAATAATTGTAGTTCATCGATCTAATCTGTCAGTTAGCAAAAAGACAATTTAAATCCTTGTGTGCAAGTTTTGACAAGATTGTCCTTTTTTTATGCTGATAAAGTCTCTAAAACTTCACTTAACGTTCTTGTCTATCTGTAATGTTACCTCCAGCTTCGTCTGGTTGACTGTATAAGGGTTTGAATCCTCCAAATAGTTGAGGTTTAAAATTTTCAATATCGAATTCACTTGTTGTATCAACAGATGTCGTTGTTATTTCATCATCTGATCTGTCGATTTCTGATTTCTCTTTATTTCTTACAACTGTCCATCCTTGAGACACAGAATCTAAATTTATGCTTGCTTGAAATGGAGCCTGGAAATCAAGTTTCGGCGGTTCATCCTTTACACTAGTTGTTTCTTCTTGAATCTTGTGATTTTCGAAATATTTCTTTTTAGAAGTTAGGTATTTATTATCAAGTTCAATTTGAAATTTTGGAAAAGGCTCATCGCGAATTTCAGAAATTACTGAGCCGCCGTAATTGGGCATTGAATATTTGCTGTTGTTGATTTCGCCAATTTCTTGTTTCGTTGAGTCAATTTTATGGTGAGATTCGGTTGGTGTGTAGGCCACAGCGATTGGCTTTTCTGTGTAAATATGCAAATTTGAGGATATTTCGTTTGGATTTTTACTGTGCAATTTTGACTCAGAGTCATCCAACGTGTTCCATTGATTATTTGATAATATTCCTTCTATACTTTGTAAGTTATTGAAATTATTTTCAGTTGAGGTGGAACTCGACGAGAATTCGGGTTTCTCTAAACGATATGGAAAATTTGTTTTAACATTATAAGAAGCTGGCTTAGTTTGTGGTTTTAAAATAGGGTCGTCATCTCTGTTTGATAATTTATCAAAGGGAAAATCCTCGTGGATTTCTGATGGTGGTAAAGGTAACTCTGCACGAGTACCCACAATAACTGTTTCCTTTTTGCCCTTGTCACTATTCTGTAATTTAGCAGGGGTACTATTGACAGGGTATACAACGTAAAGTGGATTTTGGGTAGTTTCTTTATGGGTAGTTACAGTGTTTTGCTCTTTTATTTCTGTGTTTTTCGCTTGTATCATCTGTAAAGTTTCGATTTCGTCACTTTCGCTCTGTCTTCTGTTCGCTATTTTCGTTTGAGGCGGTTTTGGAGATAAGTTGATGGGATTTATTGTTATTGCTTGGGGACTCTTTTGGTGTTGATTATAGAACAAAAAATTAGATTCTGAAGTCTCGGTTTCGAATAGTGGGGGCGGTGGAAGTTTTCTCAAACTCTGCAAATGTTTTGGTGGAGCTGGGGGAACTAATTTTTCATAGTAATTTGGGGCTCTATTGGGTTGTCTGTCTATCATAGGAGGTCGTAAAATTTTCTTGTGATCCATAAAGTGCGGTCCAGAATTGACTTTCATGTTTGGTCTAAATTGTGGCAAAATATTTGGAAGGCTGTCTATTCTTTTATAGGGTTCGTATTTTGAGTATGGTTTTGGTGGTCTGGAATATTCTGGTCGCCCGTTATAGAAGTGGCCAGGTCTGGGATCCCAAGGTGGTCGGGGTCTGTCCAGTCGCGATGGTGAAATTTCTGTCTCGCTGGGAGGTGTAAGATCGCTTGGTAGTTGGTGAAAAATTGGTTTTGAATTTAAGCTTAAGACCTCTCGATTAATGGGAGGTTGTTTCGTAGGTTGCTTGGGAACCAGAGGTTTTTTTGACGATGTAGTATATTGATCTTCTTTAGGGAAAACGATTTTTGCACCTGAGCCTTTCTTCGGGAATTTAATGTTTTCGTTGTCTAATTTTTCATCTACAACTTGGCCTGGTATTTTCTTTACTGAATCTAAAGGTATACCTATTGCTACTGAAGCTTCCGATGTTTGAATAGGTTGTAAATTTACGGTGCTGACACTACCTTCAACTTTTTGCTTATTTCCGCCGATGGCAGACGGCTCTCCGTGTTCTATTTTAGTTTGAACTGTGTAATGGACCACGTCTTGGTTCGCTTCTGAAGAAAAATGTGGTTGCAAATGTCCCACGTCGTATATGCCTCCTTTAGTGTAAGAATGATCAGAGTAAAATTCTCCTGGAATGTTTCCGTCGTTTTTGTTGTGATCTGCAGAATAGGACGAATCTCCTTGTACATTCTGATGATTTCCAACAACAAATGAAACGGTATCTTGGTGTGGGGCTATACGAATGTTGTTTGAACTAGGCACAGGTTTAAGTACAGTATTGTCATAGGTTTGTATATAGGGGACTTTTTCTTTATTTAAATTGTCTCTGATGTCATGAGAAAGTGAAACCACTGCAGGAGGATTGTAATAGCTTCCAAAGTGATTGTCCCCTAACGGTAGAGAAGTTACCTTTTCTGTTGTTTTCGTAACAAATGGTGTAGTACTGGTGGAATATAACTGTGACGTTGATTGTGGGCTTGAATGTATCGAAAATTTGCTTGGTTTATGAGAAGTCGTTGTGGAGAAATAGTTGACAGATTTAGTTGTAGTAAGAGGTTGAGAAGGATGCTGATTTTCTTCAGTGTTAGAGTGTTTAGTATGATTTACTTTAAGTTCCATTTTGGATGGATTGCTTTCAACAGCAACATTGTCGTTTTCGCTGCTATAGTAATCTTCGTATTCATATTCTGGTTCTGGGTCGATAACAGAAGGAGCATTTTCTATTTCTTTATGATTGGTAGCATTTACAATTATTGGACTATTAGTTTTTGTTGTATATGGTGGCACAGTTGTAGAGGGTGCCTTAGAAGATGTTGGTCTCTCAGTCAGTTCAATATCATCAAAATTGCCAAAAAGTTGTTCAAATAGACTTAAAGTTCTTTTTGTGGTCGTAGTAAATTGAACTGGAGTTCTTGTAGTTAAATGAATGTTGTTCATATTATTTGTTGTTAGATAAATGTCGTTTGGCCTTGGTTTGTTTGTAATTTGAAGTTGCGTTGCCCCATAACTGGGATGATTCATGAAACTGTTCATTAGATTGTAAGAACTCGTGGTTGTGCTAGGGGCTGGACGGGTTGATTTTATTGATGGTCTTGGTGTAGTAGTAGTAGTGGTAGTTGTAATTGTGGTAGTACTTTTTTCGGTAGTTTTCACCAAATTGTTGACGTTGTATTTAGAATATTGAGTTTTTGAACTGTACGAAGGACTAGAAGTTGATTTGTATGAGCTGTATGAAATATTTTCATCTTTATGATTGTAATGTTTATTTATGTTTCCCTGTATCTTGGTGTTTGCATAAGAACTTGATATTAAAGGATAAACGTGTTTATCGGGATTATATTTAACCGGTAGATTCAAAAAATCGTGGATGTTGGGGGTGAGTTGATTGATGTCACTGGGCCTATGTCCTTTATGGTGTCCATAAAGTTCTCCGTCCTTCCTATCAATGCTACTTTTGTCATATATTTCTGGATTTACTTCGTCTTCATAATAATCGTAATCTTCGTTTGAAGAGCCCGTCTTGCTGCTAAAATTAACTGTTCCTGTGACTGGATCTTTTTCTAAATAAAACGGTTTCCCCTTGTTGAAAATGGTTTCTGGAAGATTATATCCGGGAACTACCAGTGGAGATGGATTTGGAATTTCTTCGCTTTTTTCATATTCGTGACTGATTACCCTAATTTTGTCATAATCATGTGAACTGTTGTGTTTTGATCGATCAGCTTCTTCATTCTGTAATTAAAAATAACATTTTTAGAGAAAGTTGAAGATTTTTGGAGGCTATTGGGAAAAAAACGTTTATAAAGATACATCAAATAAAACGAGATGACTACTTTAAATGTTCTTAAGATGTAAAATTAAACTAAACCGAAAACTTACTGTAATATTGTTGTTCACATCCAAATTGTCAATGATTGACGCAGCATAAGAATGGGAATTAAAAACGCCGGGTGTGTTATTTCGTTTGCTGTTTTCTTTGATTAAAGCTGCAGCTTCCGCGTGGTTATCAATTATAAGAACGATTGCAGGTACTGATAGGAGAATTTTAATTATTGTTAACACTATGTACCTTAACTCCATTTCGAAAAATCTGAAACAAATTGATAGAATATCAATTAATTTATCATTTATATGCATTCTCTGGAATTATACATTTCTAAATTTTTATGGTACGTAACAAATTTGGCATGTACTTTTGAGTTGCTGCTTGCTAATTGGAAGGATAGGGGTGGCTGTAAGGGGAGGTTGGAGGCCACACACACACTCACACACTCAGCGTTAACCACATTCCCACTTTTATGATAGGACATATTTGAAGAACCCTTAAAAAACCTGTACTATGAGATATAACTGCAAATTAATTTTTACTTGATCTTATATTTTCCATTAGGAATATTCAAGAGGCCATTTATTTATACAATACCAGAGATGTGATTCATTTGAAATACTTGCATTTAAAATGCAAATACAAAATAAAAAATACCTACTTTTATCTTGCATTTAAATACTTTTTTGAGAAAAGCATTTTGTATTTTATTTAAAATACTTTTTCAAACGAATTTTCTATTTGTAAAATGCAAAATACATTTTTGCCGTTAAAAGTTTTTACTAGTATCACCGATCAAACATTACAATTCTTTAAGAAATTGTTTTCCGGGTTCAATGTCATGGTCCATGGAATTTCGAAGTTCTATGTATTACGACAAAACATCCCTCAAAACAATATCGAATTGATATACGTTAGCTGTGTAAAACTGAAAATTACAAGATACTGTGGTTTGCTAATAAATGCATATAATTCAAAAACGATTCGAAACACTTCACTTATTAGATGAACCCGAAGCTAAAGAAACTGCAGGTTCCATTTCTTTCTCTTATTACACCGAATAAAAGATCAGAAACAAAATGGGATTGTAAATATTTTGATATAAAATTGAAGATTATTTTACATCAATAAAATTATTTGCAACCCTATTTTGACTCTGGTATTTCACGTTAAGCAAACTATTTTGGCATCAATGTCTATTTTCCAATTAAAACGGCGACAACGGCAAATAAGAAATCTTATAGAAGAATTATTTGTTGCTGAACTGAAGAAATTATAACATAAAGATAGAAAAACTGTATCTTAATTACTTCAAACAGAAAAATATGAATCGTATCATACTCAATCTTCGCATCTGGTGATTTAGTACAAATACCACTATTAGTCTAGAAAAAGTCCAATATTTAAAAAATGAGCAAATGCGAGAACAAGGTTTTCTTAAAAATTAAATAGATACTACAAAAAAAGTATTTATTTGAAAAAAATATTTTGAAAATACATATTTTGCATTTAGCATTTCAAATACAAGAGAGAAATCTATTTTGTATTAAACATTTGAAATAACAAATCAAAAAAGTATTTTCATTTAGTATTTAAATACTTTTAAAATACCATTTTGCACATCTCTGTACAATACCGAATCAGGGTCAATGTGACGGGAACAAAAGTTTGTTATTAATTCAGATATGTAAACTACTTATACATTTAATAGTTTTTATCTGTTTTAGACTTTCATTCTCAAACATAGCTTTAGTTTTGAGATGCCCTTTTTACAAGCATATACGTATATATCGTATTTGTGACCAATCTAACTTATTTCATTACCGTTGGAACACAAGGTAACAATTCAACCTTGACCGGTTAACACATTCCCTACTTTCATCTTTCAAATTATAACTGAATCTCAACGAGCATGTCGGGAAGTGTTTTATTATTCCGTTATACGGATAGGTAGATAGTAGAATACACGAAGTATGCTATTTGTTAGTGTAATTACTTTGTGACCGTAAATGATAACTATTCTTAATTGTCTTACTTTACTTCGTACTTAATAGGAAAGCATACATTAATTTGTAAGGAACAATAGCTATGTTATCCTTTGACTATGGATTTACAAAAATTTTACGTGAGAGTTCGAAATTTTCTCTAAAAACCTAAAAATCTATTACCAAATTCTCTTCAATTATATAAATTCAAATTTAAAAACTCGTTCAAGTAAATGGAAAATGGAAAATCTGCGGACTTTTGAAAACCTTTTGGTAAAAGAATTTCACCTTTTTTGACACATCTAGAACTCATCTGAGGCATGTGCTATTAGCAAATGTGAATTTTTAAACGAAGAATATTTCCTACTGGAAACCAGATGACCAAGCGCCAGCGTGTGGTACAAGACATTCCACAAAATTTCCTACTGACCCATTTTTTTACATGGAATTCCGGAGCATAAAAAACACGAGTTGTAGCCTTAGTGGCCGCTAACGGTACAGTCATGTAAGGCCATGCAAATGTAGGCGCTCTGAAGACATGTTTCAAAGACCGACACTCAATTTAGTCGAAAGAAGTACAACTCAACCTATAGTGAGTATGTACCGCTATAACATACATGACACTAGCTGTCGTCATTCCCGATGCAATTAATTTCAGTCGTTAATTTTGATTAATAACGGTTAGGACGTTATGAACATACTTTGATATCTAAATATCTATTACAGAGCATGATCCCAGAGTAGTCAGATATTACTTATTTTTTGAGTAACAAAATGAGTGGGATACGTGTTGGTATGTACTTTAAACGTATGCATGCTTAAGGTACTCGTTTTTCTTAAAGGCTGAGTGCTGATTTTTACATAATGTTTTGCAGAATATTGTTAAAAATTAATATTCAACACTGCCAGACACTTCACAGCGCAAAAAAATCGTAATTTTACTTATAGTCTTGAGTATTTATTATTAAATTACTACGGAATTTCATTATTTTTTATAAGCAACTAGATCAATTGTACGGGCCAAACATCATTTAGATGTAATTAAAATACATGCCAAACATCCTTTAGATGTAATTAAAATGTCACAGCGATGTTTTAATTGTGTCTGAGGGATGTTTGGCCCCTACAAATTGGTCTGACTGCTTACAAAAAGTATTTAAACAGTTCCCTAAGTATCATATTTAAAAATAAAGACTACAAGTAAAGTTACGATTTCTTTTTGCGAACTTTGAAGTGTCTGGTAATAATTACCGCCGATGGAAAGTCTGGCAGTGTTGATTATTAATTTTTAACAATATTCTGTGAATCATTATGTAAAAATCGGCACTCATCATTTTGTTACTCAGAAAATAAGTAATGTTTGACTATTAATAAGCCATGTCGATAATAATAATTAATATTAATGATTTTTAATGTGTATGAACCAAATAATCAACAACAGACATTGGGTAATATTAGAGCAACATATTATAATTAATCAGTTATGGTTTTCTTGGTCCTTTCAGAATAATCCGGAGTTAACCCCACCAAAGTAATTCGTCGTAATCTTCTTTAATTTTAACTCCTAATTTCAAATTAAATTTTAATAGTATAGTAGTTAACCCAAAACGGTTTTTACTTCAGTTAGTTTATGTAATTTCCTGAAAGAATAACTTCTTTCTGCAAAGTTCACGTAGATATGGTTGAGAAATTTCTGATGTCATAGTAGAAAATTGGAATTTACATGAGTGAAAGTATGTAACATGCGGTTGTTTGAATACAATGATTCATAAAGGGAAATTCTGGACACAAACGCCTCCAAAGGCTGCATTTTATTGTAAACAATGTTAACAGGATATTGTTAAATTTAAATAACATTTCTTTGGGAACTTTCTCTTAAAGGTGTAGATATGAATGCGTGGTTACATTACTAGTAGTCAGGTAACTCAGAAAGCAAAAAGATTTAGAGATCAGAAACAGGAGTTAAGAGGATCATAGGTTAAGCTGGATTGGATTACAGTTCCCCAATAGTGAAAGACGTAGGTTAGGCCTGGGCAAAGATATCGATATTCGATAATTATTGATAGTTATCAATATATCAATAGTTATATTATCAATCAATATGTATCAATATATCGATATATTGAGAACTATCGATAATTATCGAATATATGTATCGATATTTCGATAACTATTTGTTAATTGAGATTGTAGACTCGCTTGGCACTTGGTGAAACATTATNTGAATTATGGACAAACAAACATGCCTGTGGTAGAACATTGTTATAATTTTAATGATTTAACTGACCCTGTAATAAACTTGTATCTAGGTAATGTCAACGTTTCTTTAATCCTATAAAAACCAAAATTTCCTGTTAGAAATATTAATATAATAATAGTACGGTTGTTGGCTGATTTTATTTTAGATATCTAGGAAGTCAGATAAGTCAGGACGGAAGGAGTAGTAGGGATATAAAGCAGAGGATAGCACAAGGGTTGTGTCGCCTTTAATAAAAAAAAGTCACTTCTATACTCACGAACGGTTAATTTAGAAATTCGAAAAAGATTGTTAAAGGTGTATGTTTGGAGCGCGGCGTTCTACGGGGTTCATTTAGAAACAATATTTACTATGAATTAAAAATGATGTACCTATCTATATATACATATACCGATAGTTATCAGTTGCTTATTGTTATCATTGTATCGATAACTACCGACAATTTTCGAATATATCGATATACCGATAGTTATCTATATATCAAACTAGATATCGATAGTTATCTCCGCAAAACTGTGTTGAATTAATATAGAAATAATATCTAAACTTTTGGTTCTATAAATAAGCGAATCAACTTGGGGAATCCCCTAAACCGCTGCGGTGTAGAATAAAAGGGTATTCCCCAAAAACGATTGTATTATCTACATACAATCTATCGGAAATAACTATTACTTCTCTTAACAGATCTGGAGAACCCTTGTGATACATAAACGAAACAAAAGGGTTGTAAGTTCAGAAATGTAAAATCGGTAAAAATTTCGTGAGAATTTTCTTGTATTCTTAAGTCAAATATCGTGGAAAGTCATTACATTTCAAGAGTTCAAAAGAGTTCCTATTTTTCTTCCTGCTTGGCTGTTTACTAGGAGACGGCATTAAGAAAATTATAAGACAGCACTTTAAAATCTATTGGTCCATCTACGAATTTACACCATCTAGCTAAAACAGGTTAAAAGCCGAATGGTTGCCTCAGTGGGAAGCATGCCCCTGTTTTTATTACACCATGTTACGAATGTTGGTGGCATTAGCCCTTTACTAAAATTAGAAGTGCCCCTCCCGTAGAGTGGAAAAAACACAAAAAAAATACTTTTTTGTCTGGTGGCTGAGCATTGTATTTTTTTTTGTTTTCCCGACGCTCTCAATTTTACCGCTCTGAGCATTTATCAAGCTGTCTCCCCCTGTCATAACTGATAGTGAGAGGGTGAATCCTTTTTAAAAGCAGCTTTTCTTAAATCTTTATTGAAAAAAATCAAAATTCTTCTCAAGAGCAACTAATCCTAAATTGCAATGTTTATTGCGTAATCAGTGATTATTCCAAATTCTACAAGGACGTCTAGAAATCCAATGTACGGTTACTTCATACATGTATTAATTAGATCAATATAAATATTTACCCAATTAAAAAATATTTTATTTTCGAATGGAAGAACAAATATTTTAACGAGACCTTCAAACAATTTTCGCATTAAAAAAATAAGCGATTGCTTTTACCTACAGGGTACCAAACTAATCTAAAAATTTGATCAAAACAAAAGATTATTATCATGCTTTTGGTAATGACTGCTTTAGGAATAGAAGCACGTGCGCTCTGTTTACTTCTGTGTTACACAACACATTCTCGTGTCAACAATGAGTTGTGTATATAATGTAATGCTCATTATCAAGTTTAATTATTTCCTTTAAGAAAAGCGCCGTTATTAGTTACTAGTTGGTACCGTTCAAATTTGGAATAAAGAAGGTAGAGCATATGAGAACGACAAATATAGATTCAGTAGTTATTAGCTCGCTTGTCCCATAGAGTTATCGAAATTAATGGTAATTCTGGGTCGATATGTTGTCCCCAAGCTCTAGCAGAAGTCATCTCATCTTGATAATGCCCAATCATCCCTTGATATTGAGACGACACTGCGATCGCAGCGCTTTACTGTTAATCTCCAAATTCCTGGGATGCTTTTCAAAAGCATTCGCTCTCTAATCGAACATAACATATCCTAACAATGTAAGTGAGTTTACTTTAGTTTTTACAGGACTCGAGCTTTGCAAAAATTGAACCGACTTTATTAAGAGGTTTAAAAGATATTTTCATCATCATAATAAGGTCGTCAATCCAAAGATTGGTTGGACACACATCTCCATGCACTCTTTCCTATCCTGAGCTTAATCTTTGCATTTCCTTAAAACTATAACATCCCACATCCTTAACTATTTGTGAACAGTAATCTAATCTCGGTCTACCTCTAGATAGGATATGAAAAATTAGAAGAAATAGCTGATTTTCGGTATCTAGGAAGTCAGATAACTCAGGATGGAAGGAGCAATAAAATTATAAAACAGAGGATAAGCAGGGTAGAGTCGCCTTCAACAAAAGATATTTTAGCGAATGGAAATTTAAAAAAAAACGTATTACCTTGTAATTCAAATCGGCGCAACTGAGGTAGCTGATGATACGATATTTTGGAATTAGCTAACCAATAAAACGTTTAATCTAATTATTGAAAGGTTCTTTGGGTTTACTTTCGATATCGACGATATTTGACCGTCCCGATTATGTTTTTAAAGTAAAAACCGCGAAATTTTTACCATATTTATTCGCTAATATAACAATACCTTTCAAATCTTATTTCAACTGGTGTTCTTCGACATGCCTATAACTATAATTGAATTATGGACAAACAAACATGCCTGTGGTAGAACATTGTTATAATTTTAATGATTTAACTGACCCTGTAATAAACTTGTATCTAGGTAATGTCAACGTTTCTTTAATCCTATAAAAACCAAAATTTCCTGTTAGAAATATTAATATAATAATAGTACGGTTGTTGGCTGATTTTATTTTAGATATCTAGGAAGTCAGATAAGTCAGGACGGAAGGAGTAGTAGGGATATAAAGCAGAGGATAGCACAAGGGTTGTGTCGCCTTTAATAAAAAAAAGTCACTTCTATACTCACGAACGGTTAATTTAGAAATTCGAAAAAGATTGTTAAAGGTGTATGTTTGGAGCGCGGCGTTCTACGGGTGCGAAATATGGACAGTGGGCGCGGCGAAAAAGAAAAGGTTAGAAGTTTTCGAAATGTGGTGTTATAGGCGAATGATTAGAAAAGAAGAGGTATTAGAAAGAATAGGAGAACAGAGGATTCTATGGAAGTCAATAAAAAATAGGCGAGATAGGTTGGTAGGACACCTTCTAAGATATGAAGGTCTAGTCAGAGACATATTAGAGGCAGAAACAGGAGTTAAAAGGAGTAGAGGTAAACCTAGAATAGATTACTGTTCGCAAATAGTTAAGGATGTGGGTTGTTCTAGTTTTAGGGAAATGCGATGATTAACTCAGGATAGGAAACAGTGGAGGTACGTGTCTAACCAGTTTTAGGACTAACGACCTTATGATGATGAGTACGGTTATTTCAAACCAAAACAAAGAACGTTATTCGCACTTAATTTTGTATTTTTCTGTAATATGTATAATTAGACCAATTGAAGTTCCTTAAACATATACTATGTGAGTATTTCGATTTTAAGTGCCAAATACTTACTTCAAAAGTACAAAATATAAAAAGTTTTCTAACAAAAAATCAAAATCCTTCACGAATTCCGATTTAATAACTGATAAATAATTGAAAGATTTTGTGTAGGTATGCAGTATATTTCACTAAACGAGGTTGACCATAACGGAGACAATTATTGTTTATTATTGTATACCTTCAATCGGGTTTTTCTGGATTGGTTTTGTGTAGTGAAATGAAAGTTACACTAAAATTCCTTCGAGAAATTACTAGGAGAAAAAAACAAGAGTTTCACCTTTGTCATCTTCATGATTTTTAGTCGTGTCAATCGAAGAAGAAAGAAATGGCCTAATTCTCTAAAGGCGATCTGATGATATCGCAAACATTTCGGTACTGGTGGATTTGTCACACTTTTGTTTATTATTTGATGTCTGTTTAAAAAAAAATACGTACGAATAAGCGTTCAGAATAAAAACAGAAAACAACTTCGAACTTAAAATGGGAAATTCTTTTGTATTAATTAAAGTTTGTAGAAATATATTACCTTAAATTTAAAGAAATAACCATTATTGCATTGTTAATTTGATTTGGTTATTTATTTAAATTTAAGATAATTTAAAGATCTTGTTTATTGATTGCTTAACGCTGACTTATAATTACTAATGTATACTTAAATTAGTTATTTAAGTTAATAAAATTACTACTATTATTTTCCTACTACAAATTATCCCCTGTTTTCCTACCCATAGGGTTAGATTTTTTTTCAAGTTTATGTGGGACCAACTTCGGGATATACTCTTTCCAATAAAAAAGAATTATCAAAATCGAACTATTCTGTCAAAAGTTATGCGTGGTCATACATTACAATCAGTTAGTGAACTCATCCCCTGTTTTCCTACCCTTGGGGTTGGAATTTTTTTTCCAAATTTATATGGGACCAACTTTGGGGTATACCCTTTCCAATAAAATAAGAATTATCAAAATCTTACTATTCTGTCAAAAGTTATGCCTGGTCATACATTACAATCAGTGAGCGAACTCATCCCCTGTTTTCCTACCCTTAGGGTTGCAATTTTTTTCCCAAATTTATATGGGGCCAACTTTGGGGTATACCATTTCCAATAAAATAAGAATTATCAAAGTCGGACTACCCTTTAAAAAGTTATGCGTGATCATACATAAAATATATATATATATATATATATATATACGCGTCGACTTGAGAACCTCCTCGTTTTTTCGTTGGTTAAAAAGAAATTCTGTTTATTTAGCAATGTGTGAATAACATACAGTTTTTGTTAAAACTTAAGTTTAAGGATATTTTCAATGTCACATTTAACTAGGGGTTGAATTTCGAAATATACTTGATTATTTCGTAAAATTTTTGCTTACCTTACAATATATATTCAATTGTTCCAATAAAATAAGAAAAATCATATATTGTTCTTGCACTTCTCGTTAACTCATACTTAATTAATTTGTATAAAAAGAAATAGATATCACTTCACTATTTCACTACGATAGCAAGTGATGATAAACATATACACCTGGTGAACATTCAGAAAGAACTGCTGGTTGATTTTATCATTGGCGCTTGCAACCTGAAAGCCGGCCAACTATTCGATGGTAAGTCAAATAGCGGTCTACTGGCCGAAGAAAAAGAAGAGGAAGGCCAACGAATGAAGACCGAAAGAAGAACTAAGTGCAACAAATGTTATGTTGTCCGAGCGAAAAGCAGCATTTTATATTGAATAGAGATTTTAGTATGGAACAATTGCATGAAAGGGGTTTTATGATTGAATATGGTAGTTTGACCTCTCAAGATGATAAAAACACATTCCTATGATTAAACATACACACAATTTAGGCAACTTTTAGAAGTGAGTTAGTTTAATATGAAATATTAATCTGAAATCGAAAAATCGTAAAGCTAAAGGTCCCGGGTTCGATTCCCGGCGGGGTATGACAACAGCAACAATTTTTCCCTCATTAATTTGAGGTAGCGTGTAGTGGGTAAAAAATTCAAAAATTAATTTTCGGATTAATATTTCACACGAAGTTTCCTTTTTTTAAGGGATCTTAGAAAAGTCACCCCTTCGAGGCAATTTTTGAGATTTTTAGAAGCGGACTTTTTTTAGAAAATTGGATTTTGCATCGAATTACTTTATCAAAAAAGAATAACAAAAGAAAATGTGTTTTTTTTTCAAAGGTTATCTTTTCTCTGAACGTTTATATTTAGCTAAATTGTCCAGAAAAAAGTCATAGACGATTTAATGCAAAAAATAACGGCAATCATTTTTGAAATTTTCTACTTTGTTTTTCAATTATATACGATACGCTAAACATGGGAAAAGGAATATTAAATGATGTATTTTGATTGAAATTTCGATTTTCTAAAAAAAAATCTTGTAAAAATCCTGAAAATTGCTTCGTTTTTAAGTTATCTGGAGAACTGAAAGTGGTGACTTTACTCAAAAGGGCATCCCTTATAGACCAGTCAAATTAAGGAAATGGCTGAAGAGGACCTTATAATGCAGAAAATGATTGAAACACGGGTCATTTTATCGGAAATTTCGTGAGGAAAACCAATATGTAAATGAAAATTATTTGCCCTACATAAGTGGGGAAGAAAATCCGGAAAAAACAATTGCAAATTCTATTATCTCGCGAAATATGAAAGATATGGAAAAAAGTTTCAATAAATGTTTTTCACAATCCCATTTTGCAAAAAAAGCACTGACTTTTTTTCATATCTTTCATAGAACAGAAGTTCTGCCCGTCCAATGGCCATGAGGCCTCAAAATTCGCGGAAATTTTTAAAAAATTCAAAATAATTATTAAAAATTTAAAATTGATAATCTAATCTATTCGTAACTTATGTTAATCGGTTAAACTATCTTTTTAGAGAAAAAAAAAATTATCCATTATTTCATTGTTTTTTTAAACAATCTCTGAGCCTGCTTTGTAAGTATCGCAAAAACTTTTGAGTTCATAAAGTAAATTATGGTAACAAGTTTGTAGAAAAACTCATCCCCTATCAATATTTTTCACAAACGTTGCATTATTGAAAGTTTTAAAGCAGTAAAGACAATATTGTACTGCGCTTTACTTGTATTGAATCAGCAAAACTCAACAAAAGTTTTGTTTTACATTGCCACTGTACAACGTCTTTTCAAACGTTGCTAAGTGAATAAATACCTGACAGTTCATCTTCTTCAGGTGATAATCACCAGTACCGTTATCTTTTATTGGAAGTTAAAAGAAGAAAACGAATGTTAGCGTCAACGAACGAAAGGAAAAAAGTTGCAATACATAACACTCAAAGCTCACACACGCACGTATGCAAGTATTCAAGTACATTTTGTTTGATTTTCAGGTTTTTATTCACCGAGCGTTGAACTCACTCGCAAATGTATTTTAATAAGAATAACCTTTTGGCAAAAGGAATTATACGATAATTTCATGTTTTGATTCCATTTTTTATTAAATTTCAAATTCGATAATGCAACAGAATATTCTTATTAAGTGACTACTTTCATAAGAATAAAGTGACTTTTTAATGGTTTTTACAGTTCATGTTCTTAAATACAGGGAGATGTCGGCTATTAAAGGGAGGAGATGCCATGCTTTCCGAGCTGGTGTGCATTTAATTAATTTTTACCACTTTTATATATAGTCCGGACGATGAAAATTGACAAAGTCCGCGATTTTCTTTCTCGTTTCCACTTGGTACTATAGTCATTTGATGCGTTTTGAACACGCCCTGGTTAAGTTAGGAAATGCTTCATGAGCAGTACAGATAAAGTGAAAAAAGGTAACCATTCTGTCAGCAACCGCTTTAGTTTAGTGAGTAAGTTGAAAGAAGAAAGTAAATCCGACAGTTTTATTGCGGACTATGCCAATTTTAAATGTCCCAAGTATAGCAACTACTAACGCCAATCACGCCACTGTGAGATTTTTGAACTCTAAAATCTATATTCATATAAAGAGGTAAGATTTGTAACATTAGATGTCAAAAATTCTTTCACCAATATTTACAATAGACCTTCAGGGTGGACGTATTCTGGATATTATGCCGTTAAAATGACAGGGCTGTTCGTGGGGACCAATGCGACGAAGCAACGAGCCAATATCTTTTTGATTGTCTTGGCAGAGGCATGTACATGAAACTACCTCAGTTTTATTGACCTTGATGAAGCCTAAACATAAGAAAATATTGTGTATGGTTTTTAACTATCCTTTTGAAAACAAGCGAATTTCTTTTATTAACCGACGAAAAAAGGAGGAGGTTCTCAAGTCGATGCGTATATTTTTTTTGTTTTTTTTATGTATGACCAGGCATAACTTTTTACAGAGTAGTTCAATTTTGATAATTTTTTTTTTATTGGTATACCCAAAAGTTGGTCCCATATAAATTTGGAAAAAAATCCAACCCTAAGGATAGGAAAACAGGGGATAATTGTTGATTGTTGTTCACTCAGTGATTGTAATGTATGATCACGCATAACTTTGGATAGAATGGTCCGATTTTGATAATTCTTTTTTACTGGAAAGGGTATACCCCGAAGTTGGTCCCATATAAACTTGGAAAAAAATCTAACCCTAGGGGTATGAAAACAGGGGATAATTTATAGTAAGAAAATAATAGTAGTACGTAGTAGTAATTAGTAGATTATAGCCAGAAAAAATTATAAAATAAAATCTATTGTCATAACGGTAAGTGATTCTTTGAATACATGCATGCCTTTTTGTCTCACCCAAAATTGTAATTTGTGGAATTAGAAGGAAGCTTTCCGTGCAAATAGTTTGCTATACCTGAAAGTAGAAACGGATTTTATATTGAACAACACTGCAAATTGACGCCTATTTCATGAATTTATAGCACTTTAGACCAGGGGCAAAGCTCAAAGCTCAAACATATATATTTAATTAAATGACTTATTTAAATTTTGTTTAGGGCTTTTGAAAATTTGTACCAGACATCAAAAATTAAGTCTATAACTACGTCGAAGTTCGTTCAAAGTAGAGGCACAAAGTGCCGGCTGTTTTTATTTTTTAATGAAAAGTTCATATATTCGTCAAATCAATTGGCGATGTCCCCGAAATGTCATTTAACATTTCTGAAAAGAGCATTCTATGCACATAGCTCTTCTCGATAGTAAGATAATGTCTTTTATAGTTAACTTGTCGTCTATTAAGGAACAGCAACGCAAAGTAACTTCTTTCGGATAATTGAAACGTAATGAGTGTACAAATTTTAGCATGTTTGAAGCATCCAGAAATGATATTTAACATTTTTGAAAACAACGTTTTTTGTATTAGCGGTTAAAGTACATTTTCTATTTAACATGGAATAATCTAGACATACCGCAGTAAATTCACATTTGTTTTAGTTAATTCTTGTAATGTTTATATTTTTGCGGGTCATGTCGGCGCTTCAAGATTTACTATGTAGGGTCTTTGAAAGTACTGTTCTGTGCACTAAGGCAATCCCCTTTCCATGGTCCGAATTAATTTTTTGTTTATTATAAAAGCCAAGAAATAGCCTCGCAAAGTGACACCTGTTTTCGATAACTTATTGCATAGTAAGTTCAAATGGGGTAATGGGGTTTTTATTAAAAACTTCCCTCATGCATTGGGCTTCGAACCATCTATGACTCGGACGCATCGGACGGTGATGTGAGGAGCTACGCATTTTCAACTGCGGCCATGTTCCTGAACGTAAAATTTTCAAATTTAACCTCTTGTACCCTGTAGCTCGAAAACGGTAGAACTTATCGGAAAAATTCTTTCACAGCCGGATGCCCCGCCTCAGCGCGAACAACATGAGCCGTATAAGGTCGCATTCAGAGTTGATGAAAAATTCAAAATTTTTTATTTTTTTTTCTGCAAAATTAAGTTTTTCCCGTACACTTAGGTACGGGCCAACCGTTGGTGAAAGAATTTTTGCCCTATCTTTAACAGTTCGCCAGATATGTTCTCCTAAACATTTTTTGCTCGATTTT